GTGTGTGTGTTTGTATATGATTGTGTGCACAGGTGTGTGTAAACAGACAGTGTTTTTCTGGCACATTTAGCAGAGATCTGCACTTCCACCTGCTGGCTGCTCTGCAGATTTACTGAAAATCCAGCTCAATTTAAAGACTCAGGAGTAAAACAGAAAGCAAAAATGATCATCATTACACACTAAAGAAACAAACAAACAAAGGCCTGTTATTTCAAATGTAGTCTTTGTTTTTTTTATTATGCACAAGGGAAATTGCCTCACAATTTTTACGTAATATAATTATAATAAAAAATATATTTTCAAATAATAAACATATTTTCTAATTACAGAGGATGGTTTAGAAGAGGTGTGGTATTTGAGAAGGGACTCGTTACGTTCAGCACTGGTAACTCAGTGGCTCAGTGCAGTGTGGGACTGCACTCCAGGAACCACACACTACTATCCTCCACACAACCCCACCCATCACTCTCCATTTTCCTCACTCAGTCTCTCGCACTCAACCTCTCATCTGTGCAATGTCACGATTAGTATGCTAGAGTTTGTTTTTGTATAAAAAGGTGTATATGATGATGCAGTCAGGTCAAATGTTAATGGGTGTAAAATCCTAGCTAACTATTGACCAATGACGGATGACTGTGTCATTTGCTCCGGTGCTGTGAGACTATCGATCGTGCAACTGTCACCATGGCAACAAAAGTAGTATTTTGCTAACAAAACCAAACTAAAAAAAAAAGAAAAGAAAAGAAAATCTGACTCTGCCCATGTGTGACATCTCGTTGCTTGTATGTGTACGAATATAGAACTTCCAACATTTAATTAAGCGTGACAGTGTAGGAGAGAGAGACAGTGATACGGAGACAGACGGAAAGAAAGAAAGATCCAGAGAGAGCTCCTGCCATGATTACATTCTGTTCAGGCTCTGTTGCAGGGAGAAGATCAAGCCTCAGCCACAGAATATGAATTTTATATCTGCAATGCAGCCAAGATGCTTCTCCGTGCAGGAACCAGCTCTACTTCTCATTTAAAAATCAAGATCTATAATCAGTGTGCATCAAGAATAATTTTTTGCCCTCATTTTTGGCAATTTGGCTTCACTTTCTACGAGAGTTACCATTTTTACTACATATTACACGAAAGTTCGTTCCTACATTTGTCAGAGTGGGAGTGGGAGGTGGGTAGTAGCTTGAAATCACCAAATTTGGTGCAATCAGGTCAAACTGGGTTGGAGGGTCACGGTTGTCACTTGTCAATTGGACTGCAGACAGATTTGTATCATTGACAAAAGCTTCACCAAAGTTTGGAGAGAAACTCTATGCATTCTACAAGCCGGTGTGCACAGTAATGACACAGAGCCAGTATCTCAGGAAGCTAAAGTTGCAGTTTAACTTGGGCATCATTTTCTTGACATTGTTTCGTATTAATATTTTTTATTGGGATTTTTTTATTTATTATTGGGATTAGTTAGTGTATGAATGAAAACAGGTTTGAAACGCATACATCCACCTGCTGATATTTATTTCTCTGTAATATTTGGAAACGTTGACTCATCTGTATTAATCATAATTAATGATAATAAATTGGGATTTGTCACAATTAGCCGTGATTAATCCGCATTAATCCTGTGATTTATCAGAATTTCTTTTTATCGTTTATCACCCCTACATCATATTAATAAAATCTAATTTGATGTCCATTTCTTTCTGCTTGTGCAGAGATAATGATGCTACAGTGTCTTGTCTGGTCAAAGTTAGCAAAACAGCTCCTCTGTATTCACTTATCATCACAAAGCTTTTTTTTTTTTTACCGATTTTACGATTTAGCATTGAACTGTGCACATTTACAATGTTTGAAAAGAAATAGAATCACAGATCTGTACCAGTCGTTTCCATTACTTCCTCCTTCTCTAATGTTGCCCTGGCCAGGATGTGTTGGTAAATCATACATTTTACATTGAGGGTTAGTGCTGATTGCATTAGTCTAAAAATAGTTGTTGTTAATGGTTGGTGTCAAGTAATTGGTGGTTGTAATAAAAATAATGACGACTTCACAACAACACCAAGACAGATTAAACAGCCAACAGGATGCTCTTGGTTGACTGCAGTCCTGTATCATTACAGAGTTTCACCTTCACTGTTTAACACTTTGGTGTGTGTGTGTGTGTGTGTGTGTGTGTACCTGTAGGAACATTTGTTTTTGGAGACAAGGACTTGGACACATTTTTTAAGTCCCTCCTCAATGAAAGGGTATTTTGAAGTTCACAATTTTAGGATTAGTATTAAATTTGGATTAGAAAAGGAATGGAAAGGATTAGGAGTCGATGTTTACTTTAATAATGAGGGTGAGGCATTAGGTCTGTAGCAGTTCTCACAAAACCCAGATCTAGTTTGTGCAATCGAATATATTATAGTTTTGTTTTTTAGCCAAGAATAAAACTGTGATATAATCAATCCTTATCCTAATTTCAAAATTAAGATGATAAATCACAATATGGCCCAAATGTATGAAAAACTCCACCGTAACATTCACTGTTGGCGACGTGCGACAACAATGTCATTCGCAGACTTGCGTTGGGTCCCATATCCATTACATGACAAGCAGAAGTGAAAGACCCATTGAGCTGTGGTGACACTTTTTAAATTGCTTCTATGATCGATTTGATTGCTGACTTTGTGTTCAGTGACTATTGATGGTTATGATTGGATCTGAAAGACCAGATTCTCCCATTGGTCTTGGGAACAGGGCTTCTCACCTACTCCAGTGCTGCTCATTGATCAAATCCATTGATCAGTCTCACACTTTTCTTGCCCTCGAATTACAAATGGTTGACAGACAGGAAACTCGGCTCCATGATCTCCTCACGCCGTTACACCTGAACAATACACACTGAACCAGGTCAGAGCAGAAAATGCCACTTTGTCAATGTGACATCATGCTGCTCAAGGCAGCAGGGTGTTGAAAAAAAAAACAGCTTCAAGGTGTGTGCAGGGTAGATACAGACAGCTCAAGGTCATACACAATAAACACAAACACACACACACTCACAGTCATGCACGTCAGCCAATAACTGCTTAGCTTTTCAACAAATGTGTTCCCACTGTACAAACCCAAAGCACAAGATTCAGATTAAGAATTCATTAAATAGAAATGTTGGTTTTAACACTACTAACCTTAGAAATAGAAATAAATGTGTTTTTTTGACCTTTTATCAACACTTCCCATCGCGATGAAAGTCAGACACTGGACAGACTTTTTTTGACTGGTGTAGGGTGTGAATTTCATTGGCAAAGAGTAAATTGTCTCTGCATGTTGGACCCTCTGATGGACTTAATGTCTGTTTATGGTGTACTTTGCTTTTCCCCAATGTCAGCTTGGACTTTCTCCAGCCTCTTCCTGCAGCTGTCAACAGGAAAAGCAGTTACCAATGGACTGTCAAAGCCAGAGAACCATTGTTTTTCTTCCAGGACTGTGTACTGTAGTACTTCACAAGTAAGAGAAGAAGTAGACCGTACGGACATGTGACCACGGGCTGATTCAACAACAACTCAGACTCTATATGTAATTTGTCAAACGTTGTAATCATAATCTTCATGAGTCTGTTGTCTACATTTCACCTCCTCAGTAACAGCCGCACAGATTCAGCCTCTGAGTGTTTTGGCAAAGTACTGAGTCTTTAATCAGGTGAAGTGAATGGAGATCACACTGGAGGAGAGGCTCCCCTAAAAATGCATTAATCAGAGGATAATTGGATTGAAAATTACGAGACATTGTCTTTGTTCCATTAGCCTGGAGTAGATTTTTTTTTCTCACATTTTTGAAATATTTCTCTCTCTGAACGCTGTCCATGCAGGCTTTAAAAACACAAAGTTTTTTTTTAAAAAAGGACTCGAAGACAGAAAGTAGGACAGTGGTAGTGATGAGATGAAGGACAGTAAAGATGAGGAGTGTGTAACATTCGATCCCCGTCGTACTGCACATAGAGACGGTACATCTTTCTGAGGGTAAATTGATACAACGTGAGTAACGGACTCAATTAATTTATCAAGTGAGGGACAGGAGTGAATGAATTAGAATTCACCTCCTGGTTGGTAAATGACTAAGTCACTGTAAGCTGCTTTGCTCAGCACTACTTTAACATTGCACCCTGCTCAACAACCTTGTTAGCCGTGTAGGCTATTAATGTATACTCAATTACTTGTGTGATTTTGTGCCTCTTACTACTGATATTTTTGCAGTGACTCACCGGCACAAGCAAAATTGTTTGTAAACACATCCAACACAAAATACCTTAATTTAGTTTCCTAGTAAACACACATTTGGATCACGCAAAGACAACCAGTCCTGGGAGTCCAGCCAGGGTCATTTGATAGAGCGACTACTTAGTAAATTACAACAGAGCCATTTAGACCAGACAGTTTTAATCATTATATTTATCATCTTTAAATTCTGAAAATTCATTATTTTCCACTTTATCATTTCACTCAGATTTTCCCATGTGAGTTTTTATCATCAGCTTAGATTGATTAGTTAAGAATAAAATTACACTTGGTGATTGTTGATACACCAATATCCTTCACGGCAGCAGGAGGAAATTAAGCCCCTCCCTCTACACCCACCTGTTCAAATGCCTCTCTGATAAGGACTTTAAAGGGGAACGTTACACCACTGACTGCAAATCTCTTCTCAGTATCTGCCACTGAGAATGAAATGACTCATAAACCAGACAGTTCACAGTGTCACTAATCAACTAGCTTTTCCCTAATTTATTTTCAAGCAGTTTGAAAAACTCATTATGAATAGTTGAGTAAAAATAAATCAACTCTAACTCTAACGTGACTATAAAAGGTGACACAACAGTCTTGCCTTTTTATCATAACACCAATATACTGAATTGCATTTTACACCACAAAACTATATTGAAATATATATAAAAATATAAGCAAAAAGCTTATAGAATAGATTAACTCA